TATACAAATAATAAATTTATTCTATAATTTGTAAACAGTAATAATTTTATTTATATTTTTAAATAGATAAAAATCATAATTAATATGTTTAATATAGAATTAACTATTTCCTTTTAGAAAATAACTAATGAACACCACAGGTGATGATCACCTGTGATTTACAATATATAATTTCGTGTAATGTAAACAAATAAATAAACATTTAATAAATAAAAAAATATTTTTTTTAGAACTTTAGGGTAAGGTCAGAGCTTATATTAGGGTTAGAGTTTAGTAAGAAATTTTTTTATTTAAGTCTCAAAAGTGGTTTTATAAGCAAAATTTAAGATAATTTTACTACAGGTAATAATCACCTGTGGTGTAAATTAGAAATTTTCTTTTTATTTATATAAAAATAAAAAAGTTTTTGTATGCATGTAACATTACTTTTTAATATTTGTTTGTCTCTTATTTACAGGATATACTATAGAGAACATAAACAGGTATTGTTCCTTCTGCTATAGAGCACCATGCAGACTCTGCTAAGTATTGATTGGTTTTTGTCTATGCCTTTTTTCTTTCTTCTCTTTTTACATTTTACAAATATATAAAACATTGGCTGTTGTTCTGACAGGCCATACTTGACTATATAATTGTTGTTTCAATTTTGCATCTTTTATTAAAACATAAATCTGTATCACATTGGGTATTATCCCGACAGGTCATACTTAACTGTGTGACTGTTGTCTCAACAGGTTGAGATTGCAATTTACATTTTTTATTTGATTATAGTTTGTAATATATTGACTGTTGTTCTGACAAACTAACTAATGTCATAACAAGTTATAAAAATGCTGTGTCTGAGATAGGGTGTATAGATTGATATAACCAGAATGAAAGTTGGTTTTGTAGAAAAGACAAAAGTAATTCTAAATGATAATTACCTACTTACTAATATATTACAAAACAATTACCTTAATTGGTGATTCACCAAAGAAGATCTGTAAATTTTTATAAGTAAATTTTACTATTGAGCCAAATGTGGAGTGCACTAATTTAAAACTTTTTTCTTATTAAGTAAATCACTTTTGGGCTTATAACAAAAGTTGTAGAGCTTATCAAAACGCATCTAATAGTGGTAAGAATGTTAAAATTGGTCTGATAGTTCTTGAGAAATCTTTAAAAAACGTTTCACTATATATAAAATTTCTTTAAAAAAAAAAGATTTTTTTAAAGAAATTTTATATGTCAGTGAAACGTTTTTTAAAGATTTCTCAAGAACTACCAGGCCAATTTTAACCATTAGATGCGTCTTGATGAGCTCTACAACTTTTGTTATAAGCCCAAAAGTGATTTACTTAGTAAGAAAAAACGTTTTAGATTGGTGCACTCCACATTTAGCTCAATAGTAAAATTTACTTATAAAAATTTGTAGATCTTCTCTGGTTGACTGGCAAATCACCAATTAAACTTACTCAATAATTTCATAATCAATCAATAACTCATAATAACAATATTTATTTACAAAGGTCATATTTATATTATTTATTTTACTAATTATATAATTATCTTATACTTATATTTGATCGATCAATTAGACATATAATTATAACCAGGCCTATTATATATTCAATTAGGTAGTTGATGATTTGAGACAAATGCTGCTGCCTTGATACTTATTTATCAAGCAGTTATTTTGTTTTGTCTCTCATTTATAGAATATACTATAAAGAATATAAATAGATTTTTCTAAAAAATCATTAAAATAAAATTCTCAATTTGCAAATTGCTACCTTTATTGCAACTATATATACATTATATACATATACTATACAATCTGAAGAAAAACTACAATACTAGGTTATCACTAAACTCATTAATGCTAATGTTTTCAATTTCACTATATATACTAACCTCATACACTGTATAATCACACAGTATCTAAAACCCAATCACAATAACCTGAATTTGTTTTAGCAACAATTTTTCTTTCATAGCTACAGCACTTTCAATCTTTAAACTATAAGCTATAAACTTTTTACTAAATCTGCATACTTTGCGAAACATTTTACTACTGCTATAATTAACAAAACTGATATCTTTTTTCTTGTTTTTGACAGAAAAAAGAGCATTATCTTCTGTCACTGATCTTATTTTTAATATTTTATTACTCTTCTAATTAGACAATATTTGCTATTTGTTAGTTCGATTAGTACAAATTTTTATTTAGCTAATTGGTTAGTTTTTGATTTATTTATCTTTATCTATAACAAACCATTTTTAAAACTAATATTTTTTTTTTTAGTTCACAAAGTTCTTCTAAATATTTCATAGTTTTTAATTCTAAAGCTACTAATGCTAAGTTCTAAGCCTATATTTCATAGCTAATATTTATAAAGAGGGAGTTCAAATATTGTTTCACAGCTCAATTGACAAGAAATCTTTTAGCCACTTAGCTTTTGAGTTTTTTGCTATAATTTTTTTAATTTCATTTTCACTATTTGTACTATACTATATTTTATAGAATTATAAAACTCTTTAACCTTATGAATTCTATTAATTTTTACCAAGTATTTTAATATTTTTGTATTATATTTAAATATATCCAGCTAGGCCAGTGATTATCATACCAATATGAGAAAAAGTTGATATTTTACTTGTTTAGCAAATTTTGTAAATACTTTTTATACTTTATCTAACCTTTTCCTATATATCTTTACTATTGTAATAGAGTTCTCTATCAAATAATTTACATATCTTAGCAATTTACTAATTAATTTATCTAAATAGCTTTAAGCTTTTATTAACTGTTATTGTATAGTTTTATATGATCTGATAAGTCTAGCAAAATTATCTTTATCAAAAGAAACAAATTTATTTCTTCTTTCACTGCCTCTATGATTTTTAACCACTATAGAACTACTACCTAAATTAGGATTATAATTATTATTAAAGCCTCACATTTTTTCATATAAACAAGTAAATAATAAATCAAACTAAAAGGTAAATAAAGATAATTTATAACTCCTTTTTAATCTTGTATAAAGCAGTTTACTGCTTTTGTACTAAAGCAAAAATATAAATTGTTAAACTTTTTTTAGCTTCATATTTAACTAATTTACAATTCTGTTGATGTTGAATACTCTTTATCTTTCTTGTAACTAATTTACTATAACTGCACTTAGTTCTTAATTCAAAAAGTCTATATTTTTTGTAAATATATCTGCTAGATTCTTCTTACTTGATATCCACCTTGTATAATAAATTTTTAAGTTCTTTTTAATACAAACTTCTTTATTTCTCTGGCTATTTTTTTTGGTCATTGCTTTAAATCATCTACAACTATTGTCTTTAATATTATCTTGTTGTCTAGCACTAGTATAATCTAAAAACTGTTTAGTTAAACTCTAAATAATTATAAACTTAAAGTATTACAATTGTTTCAAGCTATACTATAATATTTGTTATAAACTTCTAAGTCTAATTTCTAATCACAATTAAATTCTAGTAAATATTATATCAACCTACCCTTGAGGTATCTATAAATATAGTTTTCATCTTAAAAAGCTTCTATATTAGATGCTCATTTCAACTTCTCAAGTTCTTTTTTAACTATTAAATATTCTTTATTATCTGTGAGAACAATATGATATTCTTGTTTTAATTACTATAACAACAGTTCTTTGCATTTACTGTATTAATCTATAAAACTCTAAACTTTTTATTTGAGCTGAAGAAAAAGCTTTTATAATACTTTAGATTTTTTTTTATAACTAAAGCCAATTTTTGTATTGAAAACTTCGAAATTTTCAATAATGATTCTAGTTAAAATATAGCAGAGATAGTTTTTTCTTTTAGTCCAATAATTAGATTATTTAATATACTGTATCTGTTTTTGAGCTAAATTTCAACTTCTTTTCTCCTTTACTTAAATTTAACTACAAACATCCAGATTTCTTTTTATAACTATCTCTCATTGCTTCAACAATATCTCTTTTAAAAAATAGGCTACTCAAGCATTGTCTAGATAATTCTTATAAAATATTCCTTTTGATCTCTAGCTTTTTACTATTGTCTTTATAATTTTGGCAAAATCTAAAATGACTAGTTTAATCTAAATAGAAGAACCTTGTAATAAAACTACTTTTTATTAAAACAAAAACCTAGAAACCATTATGCTATATTATTTATCAGGACATAATAATAATTTTTTTTCAAGTCGAAATCAAGAATTTACAATTTTTGTTTATAATTTTTAATGAAGTTTCTAAACTCTTAAACTTAAATGTTTTTTTGCAACAATATTTTGTTTAATTTTTTAAGATCTGTTACTAACTTTGATTTTTTCAACTTTGCTTAAGAATAACAAAAACAGAACTTATTTTCAAGAACCATTTAGCTTTTATTTTCTTTTTGATGCTTTTTTGATTGCTTCAAACTCTTATAATCTTTCTAATTCCTTTTTTATCTATTTTGTTTTTTTTACAAAAAAAGCTTAGGATTTTGGCATTGACTATAAAGTCAAATTCATAGCTTCTTTAAAAAAAAGATCAATCTTTTCTTTCAACTACTCTACTAAATTGTTATTAGTTTCATCACCTCTATTTAGTAAGACACTGCCAATTCTAAATAGAACCTTTTTGTTACATACTGATTATTATATTTTATCTCTACTCTATTCTTCTTTCTTTTTAAAAACAACTCCTAAGTGTTGTAAGGTTCTTCTTTACCTTAAATTATAACTTTAAAAGAGCATATTTAAATATTTTTTAGAACTATACTTATTAGTATAATAATTGTCGCAGCTGATGCTGAAAACGGCTGAAGCTGAAATTTAGGGTCTCAATTTAAAAATATAAGCTCTGCTAAAATCTATATATACTTGTTAATTATCAAGTCTAACCCTAAACACTAACTCAACTATAAAAAAAAAGCGGGGAAAAGACACCTCAAAAATTTTTAAAAAATTCATATCAAAATAGATCTGAATTTCAGCATCAGCCGTTTTCAGCATCAGCTGCGACAATAATTTTTTCTATTACACAAATAACAAACAACTTTTCTATATGAGTTATATCTTTTATTTAAATCTATATTTCTAAAACCTGAGTTCTGATATCTATACTGAACAAACTGACTTTCTAAAAAAAAATTTAAAACAATATATCTTGCTGTATCACAAAAAAAGATTCATACTATAAACTTCAAATTTGAAAAACCTAAAAACAAACTTTGTTAACCAGACAAATGCTAAAAGATAGGTTGATATATAGATATGTTTGTATTAGAGAGGGCATAACAGATTATTAATCTAATTATAAATTAGAAAAAGGGCTACTAAAATTTTTTAATTAAATATTAGCAAAATAGGCTTTGTCATAAATATATTTTGGTTTTTTGTTTCTTGAAAAACTTTGAGCTGCCCATTTAGCTTTATTCTATTTACTTTCAAAAAGCTGAGACATCAAATCTATTAAATTATTAGATGCTATTTTAGTAACAACATTTCAACTATCTTTATTAACTACTTTGACTATATAAGCTCTTTTTAAAGCTGCTTGTCTGGCTAAAAGCAAGTAATCAATATCTTCTGTGCTTAATACTCTATTAATTAACAACCTATTTATTAAATTTCTTGCTTTAAAAAAATTATGCTTCTTTTAAATACCTATATAGTATCCTTACTGTCACAATTAATAATAGTTTCTTCTTTAATTCTAGAGGTTTGTAAAAAATAGTTACAACTAGTTATATTAGAATTTGAATTTTCTATATCAAAAACTTTATTGCTTGATCTGCTCTTTACTGTATATCTTGAATCATATGCTAAAAAAAAGCACTTATATTACCTAAATTCTTTTAATATATGCTAATTTTTCTTTATTTATTTTTTTTTAGTATTAAAGTGAAGCCTTGCTTGTATTTTTATTAATAATTTTTGAAATAGTAACAATATAAATTACTACAACAAAGTTAGGGTTGGGAGCATAGAGTATGAGGCATGCTCCTAGGCATGTCCTTTTTCAAAAAATTTATATATATAAAAAGTTGTTACATAAAAAATTTTAGATGTATACTTATAGAGCATGTTTCTAAATCAAAAAAATCAAAGGTATACTTATGGGATATACCCAAAAATTTTCTGGTGCTCAAACCTAAACAAAGTAGAGGTTTATGGAGCTGCTACTATTTGTACTAGTACAAATAAAAATAAAAATTATATATAAGAATAAAAGCTCAGACAGAGAAAAATTTATTTGCAATCTAAATCTACTAGAATGATTAAAGACTCATCTAGGTTACTATAGTTAAGATATTTAAAGAAAAACTATACTTAGACCAATATATAGACCAAGTATTAATTTTTTTTTGAGCCTGACCAACTGATAGACAGGAAATTGACAAGGCTTAGGATTGATTTTCTGATTATATAATAACTTCAGAAAACTTAGGATTTTTGTTTACGTTAAGGTTTTGGTTTGATGAAAGTTCATTTTAGAATTAAAAAGCTATTTTAATAGTAATGTAATAGAATTTCTTTTTTCTTATTTTTCTTGATTATTATTATTATATTTTATTCATATATTCTAGTTAGTTATTA